AATAATATAAAAATGCCAAATCCAGTCTAAGCATCTGGTTGACTGTGTGACCACCACCACCAATAATAGTAATCGTAGTAGTAGTCACCACTACCACCACAGCAGTGCAGTCTCTGAACTCCTCCGAGGAACTGGGCTCCCTGACAAGGCCTGCCCTGCAGAGCGAGCCTTCCCTGGTCCTAGCCTTACCTTGCTCTCCAATGGGGAGGCAGGGGCTTCAGTCTCCTGGGAAATGTCGCCTTTCCCTGCTCCCTACTCACGACTGATTCCAGCTTCCGCCCGTCGGCTTCTCCATTCACCCGCCAGCCTTAGCGCTGGTGACTGCTGCTGAGTGTGAATGGCCGAAAGGCAAGCACTTAACGATGATTTCCCCTCCCCACTTTTCCCCCACCGAGACCCCCGAGATCAAACAAACAAAGCGCCAATCGGTCAGAAACCGCGACCAGCTGGAGGCGAAGCCAACCAGCGTTTCAAGCAGCTATTTTCCACCATTAATTTGACCCAAGAGTGGGGTGCTCTGGCTGAAAGGAAAGGGGTCTCTCCCAGCTCACCGTCTTCAAGGCCAGCGGGCAAACGTAGGACATACCTGGTGAGTGACATTGCCCCTCGGTGAGCCCCATGATTTCAGCGGCTCCGACTAGCCACCTTTCCTGACCTCAGCCCTTTGCCTTAGGAAAGAAACTCTGGGCACCTGAACCATGGCACAACCACGATACAAGATCGATGCCATTACAAATCGGCTCTAGGCTTTAAGATGTCCCAAGTCTCTGTTGGTTTGGCTGCCACAAACTCACAGGGCTGCCTTCGAGCACAAAACTCGGCTTGGGATGACCCCGGCTTGCTCAGCGAGGTGGCAGGTGAGAAATTAGCACTCGGAAATCACCTTGGTTGGGCCTATCAAGGTTTGCCAAGACCATTTACCTATAAGCGAGTAAGCGCCAATAACGGAGATGCAGGAACAGTCTCAGAGTCGAGCTCAGTTCCCAGTGATTCCCTAGATGCGGCCCGGCCCTCCGCTAGCAAGAACAGGGCTGGGGTGTCCCAGAATAAGGGGCTGGCCACAGAGCTCAGCTGGAATACTCTGATCTGCAAGGGCTGGCGGGCTGCTGGTAACCCCCCTCCCCCAAGAGAGTGGGAGGCATCCTCTCGCTCACTTTTAATTTTTCCCCTTCAAGTTGGGGGAGAGCGCACGAGAGGCAGGAATGAGGGGGAGGGTTTTGCCAGCAGTGAAACGGGTGGTTAAAAAAAAAAGCGCATCACCAACCGTGTCCAACTTTAGATTCACTGAACTCAGGCAGTGGTGGGTACAGTTAGCAATGGAGACACTAGAAGCCAGTTTGTGGTCGGCAGTGGTCTGGAGAGAAGTTGAGAGCGGGGGAACATGAAGGGTGAGAGTGAGGCCAGGTTTAGAGAGAAAGGGGGCAGCCCTTCAGGTCCCCCATCTTACCCAACGGAGGAAGGCACGCACGGCCTGTCGGAGGAATATTGTTCGTGGGAACTGCCATCGCATATTAATGTCCTCTCATGCGTGCCCTGAATACATCACAGAAGCTAATGGAGCAACATCTCCCCCCACCCGGCCCCGCTTTCTTTCTACCAGGAAACTGGGCCTCAGAAAAGCACAGGAGGGCCTTTCGGCACTCGGATTGCCTTCGCATAACTGTGTCAGTCAGTGGGAAGGCTGGCGGGTATCGAAGCCCCTTCGCATCTCTGCTCTTGATACATTTCAATTTCTTCTCCCTGCAAGCCGCGTCAGGGAAATTCCTTTCTCGTTCGTATTGGCCCATTGAGGTCAACGGCCCATTAAACGAAAGGGTATGGGGAAAGCCAAAATGGGGAGATTATTCTGGGGATGGTATTGAACTCATTTGTTTGACTGCTTGAGGGAAAGGCACGTTCACGCATTGGACAGAGCCCCTTCTCTGGGTCAGTTCGGGGAAGCCAGGAGTGCAGAGCAAAGGGAGTGCGCCCACTTGGGGAAAACTGGTTGGGGCCTGTGGTCAGGTTTTGGACACGAGGACAGGGAGGGCATAATGTGTGGAACCAAGTCAAAGCCACCCTTCTTTCGTTGGAGGGCTACGAGGAGTCTCGGACGGACAGGTCGCCCAGGGACAGGTTTTATGGCTCATCCCTTGAAGACCAAGGTGCCCGGACTCTGTGTGTGAGGTTGATTTCTGAAAAAACAATGCTACAATTGCCGGGCTGCATGCAGATAGTTGGGGGCCATTTCGAAATATGCCCCCACCCCGCAATCAAAGTTGCTCTCCGCTTCCCAGATCAGAGGGAGAAGTGAAACTTTAAACCGGCAGAGCGAACAGGCGTGTTTTTCTTAGCTGCGCTACCGGTCTTCGACGGGCGTGTTGCGGTATAATAGGAAAAGGAACTGACGGGGAGCATCACCAGGTCCGGGCTGCATCAATCCGGATGAGCCCTAGACGGCAGCAAAGATCCAGGGATTTCGGTATCCCTTTTCTGTAGCGCAGCTGTTGTCTGGAGCTTTGCGGCTCAGATCTAGGAGCCCATAAAGTTTCCTTTCTTTTCCAATCTTTTTTTTGCAAGCGACCGAGCACTTTGTGGCAGAAGGTTAACAAAAGCAAAACGTGTTGCCGGATGAAAACATGCGGTAGACGCGAACACACCCACCCACCCACAGATGAATTATCGGCATTTGATTAACTCTGGGAAAGGGTCCCGACAGGTAGTGGGTAGCGCAAGCCCAGGTGCATTCACTGAGAAACAACGAGGTTTGCTGCTCAGGAATCGTGGGTAGAAATTTCAGCCAAGAGTCATCCTGGAGGATGGGGCGATTCAGGCAGATTCAAATCAACCCAGTTGCGGGGAGGAGAGGCAGATGTCACGAGTCCGTTTGTGACCTGGCTCCGGACCAGCACGGCTGTGGCGGGAAGATGTGTGCACATAAAAGTAGGACGGAAGGCGAGAGCTGGAGGCATCGAGATGAGTTCTTCGCGGAGCCATCTGCAGCCGCCCCCGCCTTCTCTAGGATGATTCCTTCTGCTACAAGGCGACCCTCGCCTCCCCCTTCCCCCGCCATTAGCCAGCCGACCCCGTCAGGCTTCAGCTCACCTTTCTCTTGACAGCCTCGCCCCTCCTCCCCATCTTTCCAGCAATGAGAGGGTTAACGTGCGCCTCCCCCTGAATGGGCTCGGGCGGACCTAGTGAAAGTGAGGCGCACTGACTTCCAGCCGAGCCTCCATTCAGCAGAATTGTTGACACAAGCAGCCGCTGGGGAAAAAGCAGGGAGGCCGCAATTCTCACTTTCTAGCGCCTGCTAGCTGGGCCGGCTGCCTTGCAAAGCATGATGCTCTCGCCGACTACTCGAAAGTAAATGCCCCCCCCGCCCCCATCTTTGGACCCAGCAGGGCAAGATGTGTGGGCCTAGCTGTGAATAAATGTGAAGATCTGCCTGTGACATAAAACAGAGAAAAATATCAGTACCACCATCCAAGAACAATTCCTCAAGGCGTGTATCTGCCTCACCTCTTCTGATGTATCTCCATACAAGTAAAGCAGGTGCTCATTATCTATTTCTGAAGGGAAGGCTCTCTGCACATGCTCCAGGGCACTGAATATTTGGATTATAGTTATGTAAAAAAAGTTTTCCCCATGTTAAATACTGGCCTCTGTGGTTTATAGGTTGGCATTCTCAAACCAGCCAGTTGAGCTACCCTGGTGGCAGTGAATGATGAATGTTGTAGGTGCTGGATGAAATTGTTTTAAGGATGATACTGTGCTCAATAGCCTCCCCCCCCCCCATTAAAACTGCTTTCTTCCATTCAAACAGGGCATTGGACTAG